TATAGGAGCCTTTCATATCATAATACTTTTGCGCAATGAAAGATTATTAATAGCCTTTGTTCTGTCCTATTGATCATATGTTGCTGCCTCATTAAACAGCTGTGCAATACATTTTAAACATGTCTCAATATTATAGTACACTAGGCTATATAATAATTAATCCTTTTGATTTTTTTTACCTTGTTTTTTTCATGAATGTACAATACAAAGAGCAATGTGTAAAGTTTTACCAGATTTAATGTTACAATTGTCTCTTATTTATTCCCCACTAAATGTTTTTTCCCTAAATGTTCAGATTTGATACAATTATTGTATAAATTAGGTATTTTATACCTCATTTGATGCTAATCCAAAAAAGATGCAAGGCGACTTTTAAGTTTTGATCATTTTTTAATATATAAGCAGTAAGTATTTTACATTTTGAAGGTTTGTTTGGATTGCCGCTGTTTGTTAAAATTTTTTGTACTTAAAAGTTTAGGTAAATTTTATTAGGTGACAATATTGTGCAGGCTTCTGAAGTTATTGTTAATATTGTTAAGTTATTACTTATTGTTAAACTAAAATGTTAAGGAGTTACGTTATACTTTTTTTTGCACTAATGCTGCTGCCAGCCAGCTGCAATAAACAATAAAATGTTGTTTCATATATTTTTTTCTATATCATGATAAATATCATTATCGCAAATATTCTTGAAATATCGTGATATAATTTTTAGGCTATATCACCCACCCCTACTGTGACTATAGGGGAAAGCGGGGCACAACCTAACGCATTTTGGTTTTGGCTCAGTTAATTAAAAAATAATTAGGTTAGATTAATATTTTTTTACACAAGCAACATACACATCTCTACTACAAATGAACACTTAAAAAAGTTTTTTTCTAGGACCTACCATTTTCGTACAGTTGTGCTGAAAATGACAGAGGTGCAAATGTTACAACTTACCCCATATGTGGGGTTAATTGTAACAGACAGAGGGGTTAGTTGTAACACTTTTGTGTGTAACACACATAATTCAGTACAATTTTATTTGTATAGTTTGATATTGTTTGTGCATCTGTATAGACAGATATCCATACATCCATCCCTCATCCAATCATCCTTCTATTGTGGATCAATATCATGGATAGAGACATAGAAAAGGGCTGCACAGTTTTGCAATAAATAATAATAAATAAAATTATAAAATATTGTAATTGCAATTAAATTAGATTTGTGTGTGGCAGCCACATGTACAATTATTATTATTATAATAATAACAGCAATAATCATACAAATGAGCTTAAAATAATAATTTTAAGGGTTTATTGCATTAAAAACAGGCCATATTTTAAATAAATAAACAAGTTATCATTCATTTCATTAATTTTTTTCATAAATTTTAAACATTTTAAATTCCAACATTGTTTATGAAAGTCTAACAAAGTTAAATGTATACTCAAACCTGAAAAGTTGTGTGGCTCCGTTTTCATTTGATTATCATTGTACACTTGGCAGCTTAGTTTGTAACACTGTGTTACAACCAACCCCGCTGTGTATTACAAATTTTAAGCCTAGCTAACAGTCGCTAGGAATTGCTGACAAGTTTCAAAACGGTGCTATGTTTGAGCCAACAAGACCGTGTTTAAGGCAATATAAAGTTAGAATTGGAAACGTATACACCCAACTCAGAAACCGAAAAAAAATCTATGATGAAAAAATGTACTTTAATGGTGTCAAAACACTCTTTGTCAAGTATCTTCACAAAATATAATCAAAATTTTCCGCAAATTCGTGGGAGACCGTCTTCTGGCAGCAAGAGAAAAATATCGTAAACACAGCCTGCTTGATCCTGACGAACTATGTCTGTACGTGTTACATTTAACCCCGCGTTAGGTTGTGCCCCACGCTCCCCTACAAATCATAACATGTAAATAGAAAAACGTTTGTGTTATTTTGTCACTCATTTGGATTAGTATGCCAGCTGCAACCATTTACATCCAGTCTTTGTACTAAGCTAGGCTAGCGGTGGGTGCGTCAAACAGACTTATAGCACGCACGGAGATGAAAAAGGTATGTGTGGACTTATCTAACTCTGGGGGATATGGTGAATAGGCTAAAGTCCCAAAAAGTTGGAGTGTTCCTTTAAGAAAATAGTGATTTGTATGTGTTCTGTGTGGATGGTGAATTTATATTGTGTGTTTATTTATGTGCTGATTCATTTTATGTAATTTCTTCTTTTGTAGGAGTTGGAGGTTCCTGGAGAGGGGTGGCTGGCTGTCATTGTGTGTGGGGTGGTTACACCTATGCCGTGTGTCTGGTTGCAGCTCATTTTTACGTGTGTGTGTGTGTGGGAGCGTGTATATGGGGATAGGGGCTCATATTAAATTAGCGGCTAGCCTGTACCTCCAGGTACCACCACTCCGGTCAACTGGGTATGTTGTTGTGATTGATACAGATGGTATGGGTTACTGTGAAGTTGATCCTGAGATTTATGGTGATCTTTTTAACTATTTATTATGTGAATGTATATTAGAAATAAAATTACTTATTTTTGTACATGTGACTCACCCACGTCTCTTTGCCCACGTTGATAACGAACCTGTGCGTTCTTAGGGCAGTTAGTCCCCAGTATTCTGGGGTGGTGTAGTGGACATTTAGCTCTATTATTCAATTAGCCAAAGTTACTGACAGCTAACTACTTCTGAATAACTACAATATCTGCAAGTAAACAGTGTAGCCTACACTGTTTACTGTAGCTGACTTAATGTTTAGCTGACAGTGTCTAAAAGGCTCTCAGCAGTACGGGCTGATCTCATTAAAGATTCTTTAAATACATAGACCAAGACAGAAACTTTGTTCACGTGGAAACATTTGCTAACAATGGGAATTTGCATTCAGAGTTTTCACTTTTTGAGAGCAGAATGACATTTGCCTGCAAGACACACCCCTAAGTTATCAGTAATTTTGTGTTTATTATAGATTTGTTTGGTAAATAAATTGATTATATTTTGATTAAGTTTTGGCGTCCCACTTCCTTGTCACTAACTCTGAGTCGGGTTGTGTCAACTCTTAAAAACTTTATTACCTGTTGGTTTACTTCTGTGGAGAATGAGACATTTGTGCCAGTTGTACTGAGACGTTTCAAATGATCCCAGACATAATAGTGTTGTATGATGATTTTTCACATTAAACCATATAGATTTTTGGGTGAATTTCAGGTGATCTCAACATAAGAGAGAGAAGGAACAGGGGAATGGGGCGTCAAGGGAAAGAGATGTAGATTAGGATTGCATAGGTGAGACTTGCGTCTCGAATGGTGATGCTAATTTCACAAGAGAGAGACCAAATATTAATTTCCCGATAGGTCTTTTGTCTTCTCAGGAAGTGGTTGCTCTTCAACCAGACTGCCTGCCATTTTCTAATTTTTCAAGTCTTATATGCCTAATACCAAGAGTTGGCGCAAACTAAATTGAAACAGATGTTTGGTTGACCAATGACAGAAGGGCAGTGTGTTAAGGAGACCTGTTTGTAAACAGTCAACTTGTTGCTTGTTAAGGCAAGGCAGCGAAGCAACCAAGCGGCAACCTCCCCGTCTCTCTCTTGAAGCCAACATGGAAGTGAATTAAACTGCAATTTATCGAGTGGCCGCTTGAGGGAGGCTGGAGAAGCGAGTCAAATCTGTATCTCCCCCATGTTAAAATTCGTAACTTTACAGCAGAAAACATGTTTACAGCCTGGAGCAAAAAGTGGCTTTGGTCTATAGAGCTAATTTTTCCCTTCATGACAACTGTGAGGGGAGTGATTTTTTTTTTTACAACTCATCTGTTTAAATTATATTTAAGCCTTAAAGTTCTGCATAATTAAGGGCGTGGCCACTTGAGTGACAGGTGGATTCTTGCCGCCGCGTTCACTGTCGTTTGTCTGCTGTCTGTTAGCGTCACCCTCAGCTGTGTTTGTGCTTTTCCGGGATTATTTCATACAATTTAATACATGTATTATACCTTCGCCCGTGCATGCTGTGTTGGATTCCGTCGTGTTGAGTATGGAGAGAACGACAGAGAGCGCTGTGTTTCCAGTTGTTTCCCTCGCATGCACTAAATGGATGTCTGATGATTTCAGTGCTTTCTCTCCATCCATGCAATAGATGCACACCCTTGAATGAGCGCAGATTTCTAGTTCATTTACTTGAAGTTCTGAGGTAATATCTTTGGTTTGACCCATCTGAGAAACTGAGAGGCGGCCAAAATCAGATTGTAAAATGGACTGAATTAAAGCTCTTTACGAACTTGGCGTGAGATGCCGACTGACATGTGTGCTTGCCTTGAAAAACTGTCGCATGCACAAGCTTAGAGCAATATTGTAAGTAATTAATACATTTTTAACTAGCAGAATAACGATGCATCATGATGCACATAGTTGACTGCTTGTATGTTGTGAGAAATGTGTGTGATCTGTGTTAATGTACTTGTATACATGCTCTTAATTGCCCCTTGTGAGATTAATAAAGTTGATAAAAAAGTAAAGTAAATAGTCTCACTTTTAGTTTCGTCTATTATAATATTTCGAAGGGCAAAACATGAACTTTAAACATTGGCTTTACTTTTTCAATCAGCTGTCATTCAGCGCGAGGGCAGTAGCATAGCATTAGCACCTCAGCTCCACCCGCCTCTTTGCCCATTTTAATTTATCCGGTACTGACGAGAGGTGACGCATTGCCAAGATGGTGACGGCAGGCCCCGGCCACTTTAGGTTTCAAAAACGCTCTTCAGAAACCTATGGGTGACGTCACGGACACTACGTCCATATTTTTTTTACAGTCTATGAAAGCAACTCAAAACCAATCACAATTCCTCAGCAACTGCATCACACAAATCAAGCAAATAACTTTTTTCAGTTCCAGTTAATGCTGCTTGTGATGCAGAAATGACACACTTTACCCTTACTAAACATATGGCTTTATTGAGTAATTTGGTCTCAAAGCTTGTGTGATATGATATGAATGTTTCTGTGTGAAACAGTACAACACTGAAGTGAAGGAAATGGAATCAAACAATGAGATCCTAAGAATTGGCGTCACAGACAAGGACACACCGAACACGGCTGCATCAAGAGCGGTGTTCTCCATCCTGAAGGGCAACGAAGATCGAAATTATAAGATCGAGACAGACCCCAAAACCAATGAAGGTGTGCTGTCTGTTATCAAGGTAAATGCCACTGTTCACTTTAACATTTCTTTAACTTCTAAGAAAAGTTTAAGTTTATTCAAAGAGACGTTTATTCAAAGATACGTCAAGTCGTCACCTCAATACACTTTTATGTATTGCCATTACCAGTATGATCAATAATGCAAACACAATTCAATCATTGAATAGAAAAAAAAGACAGCCGATGTGTCCTCTCAATGTAATTGTATTTCACAGGGGAAGAATTCTGGGAAAACTGAGATCACAGAGTTGGAAATAGCTGTTGAGAACGAGGAGAAATTATTTCAGTGTGTCAATGGAAAGGCCCTACCTACAGGTTCCACACCACAGCCAAACTCTGTCAAAGTGGCAGTGAAAGTCATTGGCGAGAATGATCCCCCTCAATTTAAGAAGACTACTGAAGTAATTTACCGAAATGAAAATGGAGATCCTGGAGATGTGTTGTTTGTTCCTGAAGTCAAAGATGAAGACTCAGACTTAAGCAAAATCAGGTGTGATTGAGTTGCGCAACATCAAATTACAAATCATTCAATTATTATTATTTTTTTTTGTGGATTTAATTTTATTTTTTTATCCTGCTTTCATTTCACTTTCATCATACTATAATATAATTGTGCAAATGTTTGTGGTTCGGAAGATTTTTAGTGTTTTTATGATTTAAAATGTTGAGTCTCTTATGCTCACCAAGGCTGCATTCATCTCATCAAAACCACTCTAAAACTCTACAAAAATATTACAATTTAAAATAGTTTTCTATTGTAATACATTGTAAAATGTAATTTATTCCTGTGATCAAAGCTCAATTTTCAGCATCATTACTCCAGTCTTCAGTGTCACATGATCATTCAAAAATCACTCTATGATGATTTGATGCTTAAGAAAAATTTATGATTATCAATTGATGAAAACAGCTGAGCTGCTTCATTTTTTTTTTGTGGAAACTGTGATGCATTTATAAAAATGATTGATTCTAAAAAAATATTATTTTGTGACAATGTAAAAGTGTTTACTGTCACTTTTGATACATTTTTGCAACCTTGATGAATAAAAGTATTAATTTCTTGAAATAAATCTTACTGACACCAAAATGTTTAATGCACTGTATATGACATAATATGTATATTATAAAATTGTTTTATATATGGCAAACTAAATTCTTGGATGATTACATAAAGTAAAAGTATCATAATATCTGTGTGTATATGTGTGTAGGTATGAGTTAGTACAAGACCCAGCCAAATGGGTGAGTGTTGACCCGACGACAGGAAAGATCACCACAGTTCAGAAGATGGACCGGGAATCTCCATTCATCAAAAATGGCACCTACACTGTTGTAGTCCAGGCTATAGATGGCGGTAAGCACCGAGATCTGTTCTTAGTATGACCAAACAATTCAAACCAGATGTGTAGCCAGTATTGGGCCGGGGCAGGACTGGCCCGCCCAGGCAAGTTTGATAAAAAAGAATTTTATTATTCAAATGTATTTAAGAAAATATATTAAGATAAACCAGATTTATTGTTGACTGGTGTGTGTGTTTAATGTGTTTCCTGGGTGTTGAAGCAAGTTCTCCGGAACTTTATTGGTTCGTTATTGGTTGAGTGGCGCCGGCGCCAAAATAATGGCTAAACAACTTTCTTTGAAGTCCCTGTAAAGTCAAAATTAAGTATGTGTTCTCAGTTTGTCACACCACAGAAAAATATGTTATTAGCCACCCAGCCAAATTTGAATGATAAAAAAAGCCGGCAAGTACATAAAATAAGCTACCAAAATCTTGAAAAAATGAGCAGTTATCTCTGTTCTCAAACGCTGGGGGCATGTCCACTGGCTGCACTGAAACCACACCCACTAGCAGGAAAACTGTCGACGGTGATATTAGGTGAAACTGTTTTCGGGACGGGAGGATGAACACTGAGGCGGGAGATAGTCGTTTCGGCCCCGTTCACCAGTAACAGCGGATCATCAGTGAATCCCAGTTGTCTCTGAGGAAAGTTTATAAAACTATCCAGTGTAAAATGATCACTTCAGAGGCAGGTGTTGACGGTGATCCTCAGCTCTTCATCAAGGTTGGTTCTCTAAAAACCTCTTCTTGATGTGATCGTTTTTATGGAATTTAAATAAAGATACTGATCTGTTTTGTACATGATCGCATCCAGGTAGTAGCCTATGCATTTCTGTGTCGAAGGCATAGCTAGCTAGAAAACTGTAGGCTCAGCTGTAGCTGTACTGACAGTCACTCGCGATTGAGCGGTGAATGCGAATGTGCTCGGGGGGAGTGTTATTGTGTGTTAGGGGAGAGATCAGATCAGAACATGATGGCGGCGAGTGTGCTAGGCAGGACAGGTGCAGCAGTAGCGCTTTTATTCTTTGGATTGATTTTAAATGTTTTAAAGCCCCCTGATATTAACATATCAACAGATATTAAACAAACAACCCAAACCACAACAAACTTTGGTTATGGGAAACATGCACTGGCAGTAACGTTCATGTATTCAAAACAACTGTATCATTCAACAAAGAAATACAAGGCTTCAACCAAAATTCCACAAAGCAATGCTTTGCTAATCACAATCTGCTTACTACTATCTGGAGATATTCATCCGTGTCCTGGCCCGCGAGGGGAGGCAAACACTGCCGATATCAAACGCAATACATCTGTTTCACAGGTACGCACTCTTTTTCGTAACAACTCATCGCTTGAACAGATTCAACAAACTAACCATGATCGCCGTCTCTCCTCTGTGGGGCCGCTGGGATGCGGGTTGCCTGTTCGGTTCCTGCGGCCTGGTCTCATGGGAGCGCCGGTTGATTCGCCGGCCGCCTGCATGACGGCAGAGGCCTTCGCAACGGCGGACCAGGGACCGGCGATGTGTAACCGCAGACGGGATTCTAGCGAAGACCCTGTTTAGCGGTTGCATCACTGGATCACCAGGTGACACATCGAACTGTTCGACGCCGATTGCAGCGGATAAAGCGTTACTATCAACAAATCCTTCCGCACCTACAGAGGAACTATAACCCACGATCAGACGATGTGTACTGTAAATA